TGCTGCAGGATGTATCACATGCATCAGCTAAATGTAACACATGCACGCTGTCCCAACATTTTTTGTTATATTGGAACGTAAAATATAATCATCACCATAAAATCACTGGTTTTAGCAGGGAACTCTGGGAGGTGTTTCCCTGTGTCATCACTAATGCAAGACCATATTTGGTATAAGTCTAAGTATTGCAATTACATCATTAGGAGCCAGTTCTGTGGAGAGGTGGAGGGGGAAGTATCCCAAAGTGTGCACAGGCTGGTAATTTTTCTTAAAAAAGGAAGACAAACACACGTTTCAGCACTATATAACGCTTTAGCAGGGAAATGTACTCGCCGGTTTAAAAGCTACTTTTACATTTAACTGTCCACATTTGCTTGGTACCCAGTTACCTTATTATAAATAGGGTAAATATGGGCATGAAATGCCAGGAAAATGTGAACAGATGTCAGAAGGGCAAAAAGGTTATAACAAAAAGTTTACTGGGAAATTAGCAAGCTAATTCTTTATGAATACAGCCCTTTACGTGTCCACTAGGCAGCACATAGTGGTTGGAGCTTCTGCCTTGGTTTCTTGTGGGTACTCTGGTTTTCTCCCACACTCCAAAGACATGCTGGTAGGTTAATTGGCTCCTGTCTAAATTTGCCCTTGTATGTATGCATGTGAGATTGTAAGCTCCTTGAGGGCAGGGACTGATATGAATGTGCACTAAGTAAAGCGCTGCAGAAAGTGTCGGTGCTTTATAACTACCTGTAATAAATAAATAAGTGTCCATTTCTATGAGCTGTCTTTTAGGAAGGTGCAAAAAATAATCACTTGAGGTGGAGATAAAATAATGATTCAGGAGACATATGGTCTTGCAGTGGTAAACAGTGATCATCATCATATATCTAAAAACTCCACACTTTTGTGATATTTATGAGGATAAAGAGAACATTTTATTAGAAAAGTATGATGGAATAAAATAAGAACACAATTAAAATAACTCCTGTAATCAAAAGTAAATGGATTACAATATACTGTATAATAGCAGACCCAAAGGCGCCTACACATTCTGTGCATGTAGTTATCTTTAAAACTATCTTTAAAACTAGTCTTGCACTGAATGCAAACCAGGGCTGACTGTATAAGTACAGAGATCTACCACACTCCATGTCTGCAATGTTCCACAATGTGCAGGCAGGTAGAAAAAACGACCTATTCCAGTAGTGTTTTATTTAAACAATGTCAAGGTTTGCTTTAAAGGCTAAGTCCGCTCAAAACTTATTACTAATAGGAGTTCAGCTGTGAAACAGTGAAAGTCTTTGAAGCCAATTGTTGATTCAACACACCGATAGAGTACTTTGACCATTCACTAAAAGCCTTTAGCTACTTTTTGCAATTCTTTGAATGACACTCTGTGCAGTGACTTACATTTGACAGTTCTACTGATCCTCATGCGTGGGGAGAAAGGTTGGCATACATAGGAGGACTCAGATGGTCAAAATATTAGTGCAACATGATGGCTGATGGCTCACACTTGGCTACATCCATTGGCCATATTACAGGAGCTCCTCTAAAACATACAATTGTAAACTACTTTTTGCCTTGCTAACTGATTTCCGCAGTCCAGTCAAAGGATAGAATTGTTTCCTCCTACCTTCTTAGCTCACACTGCCACAAAGGGAATCCTACCATCCTTAGGAATGCTAACATCCCCTTAAAAACCTATAGAGCAATAATGGAATCAAGCTTACTTAGAAGTTTACTCATTCTCAAAAACAAGGAAAAGAGAAAATTGGAAATAAGTTATATTTAGATCTCTAAACAGCTCTCCATTAGTAACTACAGAACCGTATTTAGACCAGAACTTGTCAATAACCTTATAATTAATTTATTTGTTGAAACAGTGTATTTTTTCATAACTTTACTATGTTTTCTATACAATATGCTTTTCATGAACAAGTTAACAATCCTTATGATGTGTCTGTAGCATTGCAGTCTGTTGAGCATTACTGGGCAGAAACATTATACCCTACCTAAACAATGCATAATACCTGATAAAGTTAAAAAATCTGTAACTACAATATCTGTACAATAGTAAATACCCCGGTGGCCCTCTTTCTTCTGTAGGTCCCTGAGCAGTGGCACAGTCTGCATGTTTCTACTTACTGCCATTTATGGACAGAGTTCCGGAACTTTCTTGGCAGGCTATGTTTCTTAGTTGTTAGTTCAGTCAACAGCTGACAAGAGATGACTTTCCATTTCGGCTTAAGACACTGATGACTTAGAATGAATTGCTTGTGGTGGTCTGCAGTGTACACAACACATTACAGAACAGTCTGCCCTGTTTTCCCCAGTCCCCTTCTAATTGGCAGACCAATTAATCCGCTCATCTGTGAGCAGATAATGTATTACGCTAACTACCTTCCATTTGCCGGAGCCATTCTCCGAGGTAACATAACCGTGGTCTTGTTTATCTCTTGCCCTGATACACACTACAACGCCTCGGCAGTATCAAAGGTCAATTAGTGGACAAATTAAGCTATTATTAGCCTCTAACGAGGGTGACTGGCATCATTACCCTTCCTGTTTACCAGCAAACTGTTATTTTAATACAAGGAGCAACTAATAAATTAGGGCATCTGCTGCATCTCTCAGTCTGCTATGTGGAAATTATATTATAGGGGCGCCACCAGCTGCCAAATTCCTAACCTTGCTGTAATGAGGGGCAATGATACGTACGTAGTTGATTACACACGCAATGTGATATGGCCTTGACTGACTGAGCAAAACATCTTGGGAAAACAGAGTCTGTGTTAGTTAGAGGTGTGTGTACATTTTCTGCAAAATTAGGTTTCACTTCACATTTTAGTTGGGTACATTTAAAGCAAAGCTGCACCTAAAATAGAATGTGTTGTTGGTGTAAGCAGTGTGAAGCAGGGCTTGATCCCACTGTTGAGCTCTATGAGACATTAGCAGAGAAGCTTCCTTCCACCCAACTGTGAATAGCTTTATAGCTGAGCCTCTGGGGTCAGTGTTCGAAGTTCTCTTCATATTCATATAAGGACACACAAAATCTTGCATTGCTTAGCCTCTAGTGGATTCTCCAAAGGCATACATAGAGATATGTAAGAACAGCTCTTACCAATCACAACTTAGGTTCCTACCTGAGGTGTATTTAAAGCCACGCATTTTTGGATAGATTAGGGAAAGGTTACTGGCTGGTTTTCATTGCTGACTGTGTCCCAGCTGGGGAGATTCAACCTCTCTATTTGTCTAGGTCAGGGGTGAGGAACCTCCGGCCATCCAGCTGTGGCGAAAACTACAAATCCCATGATGCATCTATCTCTGGGAGTGTGCATGTGGCTGTTAGAATCTTGCAATGCCTCATGGAATTTGTAGTTTTACCACAGCTGGAGGTTCCCCACCCCTGGTCTAGGTGACCACTGTCCCCATTACTGACAATTAGAGAAAATTCAATTGAGAGAAAAAAGTGATACCTCCTCATGTATCACTTGCCCTCAGGGACAGGACCCTCCTTACCATCTTGTCTTGAATTGCATTGTGATTTCGATGTTTTCCTTATATTGTAAAGTGCTGCACAAACTGTTGGCGCTATTTAAATCCTGTATAATAATAATAATAATAATAATTCAAAATGTTAAGTAGTCACTTGAATAGGAATAGCGGGAAAATCTTCTAATGGAAACACATGTTTTCGTGACAATTAACTAACTAAAAATTGATTTCCCCTCACTTTGGAGAGGTTTTCCTGATCTCCTGTTGTGCCTCTGAGACAGGAAGTGAAGAAAAGTCTCCCCAATATGACATAGGCAGCAAAAATATAATGGGGTTGTAACCCTTCATTACTCTTTTAAAACCAAAAAGGGCTTTAGGTATACTTTAAGGTTGTCTCCTCTGGGGTTTTAAACTCTAAGACCTGGTAGAGGAATACATCTTGAGGTATTAACTCTATCCAAAACAGCAGATATGTGCTTTGGTGCAGTTCTACTTTAGGCTTTCAGATGGTGGTTGGATCTGGGGTCTCAGCTTGACTACCTATCTATTATTATTTCATCAATAGTTATGTTAGTATGCACACTCCTATTTCCCAAGAAAAACTTTAATCGTAACCTAACCATTGATCCTAAACCTAACCCCTAATTTGAGGTCTAAACCTCAAAATAATCTCCAAAATTTGACTATTAAAACAGAACTCTGTTGCTATGGCTATAGTTATGTCATTGTACCTATGATATATTGCCAGCAGGCAGACTGTATGTACTTTTGGAACTTAATGAAAATAGAAAGTATCCATATTAAAGACAGGTAACTACTATATTTATAAGAAGGTCAATAACTGGCAGCTCAGGTGTCTCTCTCAGTACAGAGTTTATATTTAAACTGCTACCTGGAACAAGTGGTTTATACAGTTAGGAAAAAGGCCTTCTCTACAAGGAATCTTCTTCTCTACTTTTTAATTGTGCGCCAGGGTTGCTTTAAGACTGGGGCAGCTCTAGGGCACATCATCTATATGTGTTACATCAATAAAGTTTGCTAGATTTCTGTCAGGGTTTTATTGCTGTGTGTTTCCCATTAAGGAGATTTCCATTTCTTTTTCTGCCCTGGTGATGATTTACAACTGGAAATAACTTTTGTACACAATTTAGGCTGGATTCACACCTGTCTGATATGGTGCATTGTGTTAACAGTAGTGCATTACCTCGCTGCAGTGCAGGTGCGTTGGCTAGGTACATGGGTTGCTATTCGAAATGAATGCCACCGCAGCACACCAATGTGCAAAATATGCATAACGTGCATTGCCTTGTAATGTAGTAACGCAAACTCCTTAACATGTGTGTTACAGCAACACACAGGTGTGAACCCATCCTAAAAAGGGGATGTTATATGATGTTGTCTTTAAAGAAACCACCATATTGTAATAAAAATGTTGGTAACTTAAATAATTATTTACTGCTACATACAGTTGTGCCTGATCATTTCTTTTTTTTTCCCCACAGGCATCCTTGGTTTCCTTGTTAGTCAGCATCCCATTGCCAGAGTTCTGCGAGATCACCTGATATTTAAAATTGCACCTATGCTTAATCCAGATGGAGTGTACTTGGGAAACTACAGGTATGATTTGAAGCCTGTAACTGTGATGTCTGGTAAACTGTGCACTTATAAGAGATCAGATATAGCCATTGCTGAGCCATAAAGGAAAGGACATACAAAATATGTATCAACTAACATTACCTCGCATTAGAAGAGCCACTCATTCAACTACCTCAGATTGCTGTACCCCTTAACCCATCAGTAGGGATGGGGTTTGGAGTTCGCCACTATCATCTGTTCAAGGTAAATATATGACCCATTCCATATCCGTGATTCCAGCAAATCTGTGCAGATTCATCCAGGAGAATTTTTTTGGAAAATGTAACACATTGCATGGCCTCCACTAAACTATGGCCAGCAGGCTTAGACGGACAAAAGAGGGAGCTTTTGGATAAGCCAGCCTCCTCAAAATAGGGGGAACAAAGTAGGGCCACAATGTCAGGGTAATAAAAGCTGCTGCAAGCAAAGGATAGAGAAAGTTGACAAATTGCATTGGGAGATATTAAGGTCTGTTAGGAAACTGTACTGTAATTCTGATATCTTGTTCTTTGGGCAATCAACCCCTTTGCTGCTTTGCTGTTGTTGTTGTTATTATTGGTGGCTTTCTTGTCTTCAAATTGATTTTGTGGTTCATTTAAGGTCAGTGGTTAGTTTTACCTGCTGTCTTGTCCAGTACAAACACTTTTTTTCTGCTGTAAGGCTTCCCTTAAAAATGCTGCACGCTAATGCGATTTTTAGAGGGTAAAGGTCCATCTTAATAGTAGTAAAACACCCGCCTGTCTCTTTCTCTGGTACATTTCAGCCAATTCTCCCTCAATAAAATTGTCCTGCTGCTGACTAACTTTACACTGTTTTGTCATCTACGGTTTCTTAATTCTTAATCTGAGTTTGATAGAACTACTGTCCAATTTCTATTTGCCAGTCAAAGTGGACCTATTACAATTTGATAAAATAGTATGTTTTGCTGCTAAAACTTTTCCTGAGAGCTTTAAGGAGGAATTGCTCAAGAGTGCATGCAACAAGGTCAGCAAGGATTTGTTTTAAAGCTCATTTTCTGCTTCTTAAGAATATGTATATATCTTATTGTCCACATCCTGGCCACATTTACACATTTAAAGGGAACTTGTCATGAACCTCCAGTGCTGGTCTCCTTCTAAAAATGATAAATGCCAGGCTGTCAAACTGATCCTCTAGCATCAGTACATTCTGAATCATTGTACTGGAAAAAGTATGCAGATTAGGAATGCAAACTTCACTTGCTTCATACTTGTTCGGAATCAGTGACTTACAAATTGAAAAGCAATATTACTTTCATGACAGGTTTTCTTTTGAAACTCTCCAGTTTCAAAATGTACACTTCCCCGCAGCAGACAAATGGTTAATAATAAATCCCCCAAGTAGATTTATTAATTGGGGATTTGACTCAAGCGCTTAACACGGAATGGCCTCTGAAGCCAAATCAGCTATAGATTATTCATTTCTTGCCTGGAAAGTAACAAATGACTTTTCCGTTTCCAACCGAGAAATCTCATGGTCATTGCTTGAATTCATTTAGCACGAAGAAAGCGAAGCATTTATCACAGAGCAAATTCCCAAAGTCACCAAACAGAGAAAGTTTGAGCTTTACGCTTGTGAAAGTTCTCTACGCGGACAGCTCTGCAATTCAGAGCCGCCAATGAGCTGCTGACAAGTGAGGTTTCAGTTGATTCAAAAGGAGTCTTTAAAGACCAGTAAGACATAAGTGACTTTTATGTGAAAGAACTAAAGCTACGAATGTGGAGGAAAAGTTTGGAAAACTGAATCAAACCTGAGAGTTAGCTGTGTTAAATGTTTATTTCCCAAAGTTCTAACATCAAAATAATGCATTCTGTTCCACCTGCTCATACCTGGGAACCTTAGAAATACTCCAAGGACCCCAGTTATAAAGCAGCAGCTAAATTATGTTACTGCTTTTTCGCAAATCTGCATTGCACTCTGCTTGCTTCAGGACTCTGACATGTCTGCTGACATGATATCTGTTGGCAGAGCGTGGCCAGCCAAATTTGTGTCCTTTGGCTGGAGACCCCCCTCACCTGTTATAGCTTGATTTTATATAGTTTCGATTTGTACTGTAGGCAAGGTGTGTAGCACTACCACACTGATAATGATATACTAGATTGTAAGCTCTCACAAGCAGCACCCTCCTAACCCTATTGTATTGAAATGGTATTGTAACTGTACTGTCTCCCCCATTTTGTAAAGCGCTGCGCAAACTGTTGGCGCTATATAAATCCTGTATAATATTAATAATGATAATAATAATAATAATAATAATATTTCGCTTGAGCTACTAAGGGGACCTTGGTGGGGATAGGGGGCGGAGGTTAAGGAGAGAGATAACTGGCTGAATTATTAGTGTGCGTGTAAATGTTTTCCCAAAGATTGTTGTTTCCATTTGTTATCAATGCATGCAGCAATTTAATCAAATACAATAACTAAAATCCCTTTAGGAAAGGTTAGACTATGAGTAATTGAAGCCACAGCTTTTGTTGTTTTCATAAGTAATGCTTTTTTTTTTGACAGACCTAACTCTGAGACAGATGATGATGATAAAGTGCTAAAAGTAGTTGTCATTGGACATAGAAATAGTCTTAGTGGGAAAGGCATCAGATATAGGGGGGTCATATTGAAGAAGATAATCCATTAAGATATATCAGCTAACAGATAAAATTACCCAGAGGCAGGATAGCTCTGGATAGTTGATGCCGCCCTGGCTTTTGCTGTCAGGTTTTCTAGGACAGGTTTAGCTGTTGGAGATTTAAAAACAACAGACATGTTTCACGGGGATCTGTAGTCTAGATTTTTTTTTATCCACATCACCAGGTAATATATCTATAGCTGTGTGCAACTGGGGAAAGCAGAGGCTACGCTATGGCTGTTCAAGAACAAATTTGAAAACTTCAGGTATTACAGGTGAAACTCGAATAATTTGAATATAGGGCAAAGTTAATTTATTTCACTAATGCAACTTAAAAGGTGAAACTAATATATGAGATAGACTCATTACATGCAAAGCAAGATAATTCAAGCCGTGATTTGTCATAATTGTGATGATTATGGCTTACAGCTCATGAAAACCCCAAGAACCCCAAATCCACAACCTCAAAAAAGTAGATTATTACATGCAATCAATAAAACAAGGATTGTACATAGAACAATATCGTACCTCTGAAAAGTACAAGCATGCATATGCACTCAGTACTTGGTTTGTGCCCCTTTTGCAGCACTTACTGCAATTACTTTTGCACAATATTCTAATTATTCGAGTTTCACCTGTATACTGTAATACATTATCACACTCTTTGCCATCTCACACTCACCAGGCCAACATAGTGATGTAATCACTGCCATTCCAATTAGTAGATTCAAACTTTAGAAGCTTATGAAAAGAGCAGAGAGCCTTGTTTCCCAGCAAGAATAACCAGATTGCCCCTGCCCTGTACACTCATATAACAGGTAACAAAACATGCTTCCTGGAGTTCTCCTCCACTATGTCCTCAATACAGAAGAACACCCATCTCTAAGGGCAATATTATACAGGTAAGGAAATGCTACGCCAGGCTGTATAACAACCAGTTAGCCTAGAGGACAGAAGCATGTATGGCATGTATCCACCATCAAATAGCCTGCTGGTTATACTCCTACATTGTTTAAGTGTGTCTCATGGAAAGTGACGTTGGTCAGAACATTTGCCCTTAGGCAAACTGACACACACAGTTGGTAGAGATTTTTGCTATAGCCAGAAGAGCTTCTGATCACATTAGAATAGCCATCTCGGCTTTGAAAAAACAGAAGCTCATCCATGTCAAAATTGGATCTACAATCCTGTAAATACTGCTTAGACAAATCACCTCTATTTGTTATTGAAGTTCTCTCATTGTCATGAGTGAATGAGGGTGGGATATGTAAGGTTTCTAAAGATATGTAAGGTTTCTAAACTTATTTATTTGCCACCATGAATTGAATGCAAGAATTTACAGCCACTCGCAAGTATTCCTGGAAATTGTCCCCTTCCCAACACCCTTGCCTTGGTACTGGTCAATGAGATCACCCACCACTCTAAAGGATCTATAGCAAGACACATTAGACTGGAAGGACAGTCCATGGCTAGACTTGTAGGGTTCCTGAGGATCTACATCAGATGAGTACAGATATGTGCAAATACCTGTAGGTTGACTCTAACTTTATGACACATTTACTTTAACTCCAGCTTAGGCTGAAGTGGAGACCTTCTATACAGTCTGACTTGAGAACTAGGGGCTATTTTAGTGCCCTTACATGAGTTTAAAGATTAGCACTTGATTTCCTTGTCTAAGATTTCTGTTTAGAAGCATCACACTAATTATTTTACATTTCAGATGTTGCCTTTCAATTAATGGCTCCTGCTCATTTAGATGCTCTATTCATCACGAAGGTAGACATAATACAGAGCAAAAGGTCCCTCACACAGCTAGAAAAGAGCAGCATAGTTGAGAGGATTTATCAGACAAGGTTAGCTGTAGCTTGGAAAAACCTGTGTAATATGTTGAAGGTCACTTGGAAACGCCACTGGTAGCACAATCACCTATTATATCACTAATCTATACGGAAGCCATTTCACAGCCAGCTGGGAAACACCTAAGGCTAGTCCCTGTCATACCATCACTGTAACTCTTATTTTTATCTGAATTGCACTTCTGGTCTTAACTAAGTTGATTTTGGCTGATATGATTACAATAGAAATTTTCAAACTGGCACTAGAAAGGAAAGAATTATAATGTTGTGGTGGCTGTGGGCAATGCCTACATACATTTCTATAGGGAGATATCTGCTTAGGAGCATAGAGGTGTGGGGCACGTGCGTTCACAAAGCTGATGTTTTCCAGTGCTGAGATACACTGGTCTGTGGTTTCCCACAGACCTGTAACAATATCTTAGGACATTTATTGTTCTAGAACCTAGACAATTTAACCAGTCAGGTTATGATAAGGAGCCAACAGGAAC